ACTCATGACAATAACAGTCGACTTTGTGGATGCAGTTTCTGTTCTTCGTCCTGGAATTGGCCTGAATACAGCTGAGCTGAAACGCTACGAATTTGATGTATAATCACCTCTGATACTCATACGACACTTTCTCATTCCTTCCGTTTCTCAAACTTAGCACAAAAAATAACAAAACAAAACGGGTTTCTGTTAAAATCTAAATTTGCCCAGCAGGCATTGCTGTACAACCCAGCCTGCCACCCACTGGCCGCTAAGTGCTCTCCTCTCATCCGACTTTCTTTCTTCATCCTTTCTGACTCTGTGCTGCTTTCCATACTGTCAGCCATGACCTCCTTCCCGATTGCCTGGGCCCATGGGCTGCAGGCTCAGAGAACTGGCCTTCTTGGCTTGGCTCCCATCTGAGTCCTCTCTCTTGCAGCATGCAGCAGAGGGAAAGGTTGGTGCAGTGGATAGGGAGCTAGCCCTGAGAGACCTGGGGGCTACTCCCGCTCTCCCCCAATGGACTTCCTGTATGACCTCTGTCACGGAGTCCCCAGGCGATGCTCTGGAACTGCTCCCCACAAAGCCAGGCAGGACTTTGGGGAGCCTCCTCTCCCTCGGAGCAGACTGTCTTCAGGGCAAGAAGCTCACACGGCTTCACCTCCTGGGTCTGACCTTGGAGCATTCAGCATATGCCCCTCCATGCGCTTCCCACAGCGAGTCCGCCCAGGCGGGCTCCTGGGGAAGCCAGAGGGTCCTGCACCCCCACTTCGCAGTCAGACGTGACTCTCAGCCAGCCAGTAACACAGAGGTTTATTAGATGACAGGAACACGGTCTAAAACAGAGCTTGTAGGTACAGAGAACAGGACCCCTCAGCAGGATCCATTCTGGGGCCCAGCGAGGCAGACCCCCGTCTGCCCTCCCTTCCAGTCCCCAGCCAGCTCCAAACTGAGACCCCCTCCAGCCCCTCCTTCTCTGGGCTTTGTCTCTTTCCTGGGCCAGGAGGTCACCTGACCTCTTTGTTAACCTTTAGCTATTCCCTTGCAGGGGGGGAAGGGGCCCTGGCCATTTGTTGCCAGGGAGACAGAGTGTCAGTGATTTATGCGCACTGGCCTTTCCCCACCACCTAGAGACTTAAGAAATGCATAGGGGAAACTGAGGCACCCACACAGTATTCAGAGGAAACATTAAGAACAGTCCCTCATCTAAAGACTTCCAGATCTTTAATGTAATTACTAGCCCTTTCTTATCTTAATCACAAAACCCCAGGGGCACAACCTGGGAGAAGCACCTCTCTGCAGAATGCACATTCCACACTCATTCTGGGTAGTGAAGAGCTCTGTCTGGAAGCGCCTCTCCTTTAGTCCCCCCTGCCCTCCCTAATTGGCGCCCTTGTGCCTTTGTTCCTCCAGCTAACCCTTCCTTCGGACAGCGCTCGGAGCTCAGTGGGGGACAGTGCCATAGGGAGCTAGCGCCTAGCACCGGCTGGCGTGGGTCCTATTCCAGACAGTGAACAGCGCCAGTTACCAGGTAGATCTCAGCCAGTCTCTCTATGCTGTGCAAGGAACATGGGCACTGCCAGGTGGGATGAGCCCAGCGGCCCAGCCCCGGGCAGGATCTGTCTCCTGGTTGTGTGTCTGTCAGCACCCAGCACACCGGGGCGCTAGGCACCACGGCAATACAACAATGCATAATGGCAGTTGTAGAAAGTGGGGCACCGATACGCTGCCTGGGACATTCTGTCCAAGCCGCAGGGAACGGCTGGCTGGTGCAGGACGCTCCCTCTCACGGACAGCGGCTAATGGAACAGGATGGTCGTTTTATTCACGTCTGGTCCTTTTTCAAATCTGGATGTACCCGTGACCTCCCCACTATCTAGTGGCAGAGAGTTCCTCAGGCTCACAGCGTGTTTTGTAGAATGATCTTTCCTTTATCAGTTTTATGTTTGCTGCCTCCCCTTCTCCCCTTGCTCAGGGTGGTTTTTAATATAGAGAGATTTGAGCCCACAATACACAATGGAAAATGCAGCCCCTTGGCCCCTGCCCCCTTTGCAGGACAATAGCATGGAGAGGACACTGCTGCCCACAGAGACCAGTGGCCATGGCCGTGTCCCTGGCAGGACTCCAGGCTGGCAGAGTGGCCTGTCGCTCTTCATTCCTTCCAGCGCCTGTTCTTCTGAGCTCAGAATCTCTGCCAGTGCCTCATCTCTATTCCCAGAGAAAAAGCGGATCCAGGGAGAGTCTCCCGACCAGCCTTGCTGGTGCAGAGAAGTGATTTACCATCTCTGCAATGTCCTTATCGTCCTTGATTTACCCCTTGGTGTCTAGAGGCCTCCCCGATCTGTTCACAGACCTCTGCCGTCCCACGTTTCAACCATTCCTTCTTGCTTGGTTTTTGGCCTTTGGCTCTTTCCTCTCCCAGTTCCCTGTTCACCCCCCTCAGTCCCCATCTATTGGCTTTGCACTGCTGGGTTTCCACTTGTCAGAGGAACCTTTGGGCTTGAACAAACTCCTGCATCTTCCTACGGAGCCGTCCTGGGCTTTCCTCACCTCTCTGCTACCCGTGCCCCCCCCTCCACGAGGTACAACAGGAACAGCACTGCACCCCTTGTGACGTTGTGAAGCCCGAGCTCGTAAGCTGAAAAAGTACGCCCCACTGGCTGGCCCCCTGAGAGCGAAGGGCTATGAGGTGAAGATGGACGCCCTGATTGTCGGAGCCCTGGGCGCCTGGGACCCCTGCAACGAGCGTGTGCTGCGGACCTGCGGGATCGGTCGACGCTACGCACGTCTCATGCGGCGCCTCATGGTCTCAGACGCCATCCGATGGTCCAGGGACATCTACATCGAGCACATCACCAGCCACCGACAGTACCAGGAGGCGTGAGCCAGAGTGACATCGTTCTCCCACTACGAGAAAGGGACCAATTAGCCTGCTCCGTTGGATCATATGAACTGGAACCATAAACACCCTGAACATTAAATCTCACCAAATGAGGGTCAATCCATCCTCATCATCATATCCACTCATTATACTCCACACCCGAACATAGCCACTTTATGAACTTAATACCCTCATATCTTAATGTCTATACTTTGACCCATCCACCTTTTACCCCCAATCAGGGATATTGCAGATTATGTATTCCTCATGCCACCTTATCTTAAACCAAACATTGCCCCCTCTATAATCTGTATGTTATTCCCTGATAACCAGAAACTTCTATGCTCAAACTCTGTTCACTATTTTTTTTTAACATCATCTTAATAAAATTTTTAAATCTCATTGGAGGTGACAGGGCCAGAAAGAGTTAATTAACTCACAGACTGACCTGACCCATGGGTGAACTGTAGAAACTGGTTAGGAAGATCTGTAAATGAATAGAGCTTTGAAATGCAAGTCTGTATTGTTAGAGATAGAAGGGTAGAGGTTTGCTCATGGCTTGTGATGTAAGCAAACAAGTCTTGTCTATTGCTATAACTTTAATTCAAAGATCAAAAAGGAATAGTAACATTTAGGAAGACACTTGAGTGAAATAGTATTATTGTCTCTAAAAAAGAACAGGAGTCCATGAAAGCTTATGCTCTAATAAATTTGTTAGTCTCTAAGGTGCCACAAGTTCTCCTGTTCTTTTTGCGGATACAGACTAACATGGCTGCTACTCTGAAACCTGTTATTATTGTCTCTATGTCTCTTTGAAGGTTGTGGTAACCTGTATCTGAACTGTTTAATGGATAAATGACCCTGTGCTAATTGCCAGGATGTTTGGGAGAAGGAGACTTAGGCCTATTGTTTTCTCAGGCCAAAAGGCTGCTGGAAATGTATAAGAACCCTGGGACACGATCCTGCTTCATCTCAATCTGCTTTGGGTTTCAAGAGGGGGAAACCTTAAGCCACAAGGATTGAGATCCCCAGTCACTGACTGGAGCCACCCTGAGCATGGACATTGGACTATAACCTCTGGACTATTTCAAAAAGGACTTTTGGCAATGACAAGCTCATCTCTGCTATGTATCTGAACCTCAAGAGTTGAATTTAAGTCTGTCTGTATATTGATCTTTTAACCAACACTCTCTCGCTTTTCTTTTTTAATAAACTTTATCTTAGTTAATAAGAATTGGCTAGAGCGTGTATTTTGGGTAAGATCTAAGTTATCATTGGACCTGGGTGTGTGGCTGATCCTTTGGGGTTGGAAGAACCTTTTCTTTTATATGATGAGATCAGATTTTCAGTAATCAGCATCATATCTGACAGGTGTGTCTGGACGGAGGCCTGAGGCTGGGCACTTTAAGGGAACTGCGATGTTTGGACGTCTGAGTAACCAGTGAGGTACTATAGAAGCTGTTTTGGTAAATCTAAGTATTGAAATAACCACCAGCGTTTGGGGTTTGTCTGCCCCATTCTGTTTGCAGTTCACCCTAATTGAGTAACCTCAGCTGGCTCCCACGGGCAGCACCGTCACACCCCTCCACTCCTGCCCTGCAATGCAGGCTCTCCGCAGATCCAGCTTGTGTTTATGGAAACACGCTGATGGGGCGGAAAGCCGGCTCGAGGAGAGAGTTACAGAATCCAGGCTCACTAGAGCTGGGCTGAGGGTCTGTCATGCAGGGCACCTGCCTGGCCACGTCCTTTGACAATATCCTACGGTCCATCGCGGAGGGCAGAGAATCGGAGCATTCTGGGCACAGTGCAAAGCCTTCTGAAGTCAGCAGGCGTCTTTCCATTGGTTCCACTGGGTCTGGATCAGGCCCTTTCTGGAGCCTGGCTGTGAGACTGGACGTCTCTCTCCCACCTCCAGGGGAGACCCAGGACTGGAATCACTCCGAAGCGCTTTCCGTGCTCCAGCCTCCACTCTTGCAATTCTCCATGCCTGGCTGCTCCTGCCCACGTTTGGTACCAGAGGCAGCAGCCCCTCTTCCCCCAGGTGTGCAGAGGTCAGGAACGCAGCACACCAGTACAAGTTCCCGCTGCTGGCTCCCCATCCCATTCCCTATTCGGTCCACAGTTTTATGACAGCACTTACCTCCGCCTCCGACAGAATTCATCACCAGCAGGCCATATGGTGCGGCTGAGTTACACGGTCACGTCCTTTGGAAGAACTGCGGCCAGTTAGCAGCTCCGGGCCAGGATGTGGAACGTGCGTTGGGCTCACGCCGAAGAAATGTGTCTCTGCCAGCGGGGTGACCTGTGCGCTGAGCGGTGACAGTCTTAATCACGTTTCCTTGGGAAACGCCCCGTGACACCTGGCAGCTCAACACACGCATTCTTGCTGTAGGCGTGTTTGGAACTCCACTTGCGGAACGCCCTCTGGTCTGCTGCCTGCCTAACAGGTCTTGCTTCCAGACTTCCTGCACTTTACTATTATTACAGAGTCATTTTACTGCACTCCACGGCATGAGTCCAGGTCACAGGGTCTGCCCCAAAGAACCTACAGTCTAATTATAGACGTGCCCCAAGCACCACCGTTAATAATCACACAGAAGGAGGACAGCAATGCGGAAGGGTGAGGGTTACCAGCTTATGTAGTTACCTGGTTACTCAGCTGACAGGACTTTGGCTCACTCAGTCCATGTATTGCCTTCCATGGTGCAGAACATTCACAATGGGAGAGGTTAGTTGGTCACTCTTTCTGCACCTAGAATCATAGAATATCAGGGTTGGAAGGGACCTCAGGAGGTCATCTAGTCCAACCCCCTGCTCAAAGCAGGACCAATCCCCAACTAAATCATCCCAGCCAGGGCTTTGTCAAGCCAGGCCTTAAAAACCTCCAAGGAAGGAGACTCCACCACCTCCCTAGGGAACCCATTCCAGTGCTTCACCACCCTCCTAGTGAAATAGTGTTTCCTAATATCCAACCTAGACCTCCCCCACTGCAACTTGAGACCATTGCTCCTTGTTCTGTCATCTGCCACCATTGAGAACAGCCGAGCTCCATCCTCTTTGGAACCCCCCTTCAGGTAGTTGAAAGCAGCTATCAAATCCCCCCTCATTCTTCCCTTCTGCAGACTAAACAATCCCAGTTTCCTCAGCCTCTCCTCATAAGTCATGTGCTCCAGACCCCTAATCATTTTTGTTGCCCTCCGCTGGACTCTTTCCAATTTTTCCACATCCTTCTTGTAGTGTGGGGCCCAAAACTGGACACAGTACTCCAGATGAGGCCTCACCAATGTCGAATAAAGGGGAACGATCACGTTCCTCGATCTGCTGGCAGTTCACCTGCCTGTTCATGCTAGTAACATCCATATCAGGCCCCATTTCCCAAAGCTAAAGAGTATTAGGGGCAAAACTGATTAGCAGAAGAATGTCAGCAGAGATGGGAACCAAACCTGGGAGCTGCCCAAGGACCTTTTCTAGATGTCCCAAAGCCACAATTCCCCAGTTGAAAAAAAAAAGAAAAAAAAAAGAAGCTGCTTTGCTTAAAAATCATTTGATTAAGAGACATGAAAGCGGCAGTGAAAGAGGAAAAGAAAATCATTCTCTCCCGAAGGGGAGGTAGATGGCAATGGATACCGCGCAGAAGTTAAAAGCCTCCAGCAACCAATACGAGAAGTGGAAGGTAGCAATTTTAAATGTCTATAGTCATAGATTCTAGGGCTGGAAGGGACCTCGAGAGGTCATCGAGTCCAGTCCCCTGCCCGCCTGGCAGGACCAAATACTGTCTAGACCATCCCTGATAGACATTTATCTAACCTACTCTTAAATATCTCCAGAGACGGAGATTCCACAACCTCCCTAGGCAATTTATTCCAGT